TTTTTTAAAAATAAATTCCCTGTTCATAGGAGGAAGAATATTGACCTCAGTTCTCTCCATCTTTAGTACTGTTTTCCCCAGCAAAAGAAAGACAGAGTCAGGAAGAAGGGAAGTCCCAGAAACAACCTCCACCCTTAAATGTTTAATACAAGAACACACCAATTTTTCAAAACCTTAAGCGGGTTTCTGGCCACTCCTGAGTCCCTTCATGCTTTTTTCATGATCTGTGTGCCCTCCTCAGAGGATCACACACAGGGGAAGAACCTCAACCCTTTAATCCACTGGAATTGTCCATCCTGGGCAAAAAGGAACATGTCTAACCTTATTTTAAAATGGGGCCCCTTTTCTGTCCAAACTCCCAATTCAGATGGCTCCAAACCAGATTGCTTTTCTCTTGCATCTGTTTATAGTTGACAAAGCTGTGATGTTGTGATGACAGTTGTCATGCAGAATGAGGTCAAATACAGCTGCCAACTGCTTTATTTTTTTTTAAGCTGCTACCGTACTTCCTCTTTGGGTGTGTTCATTAATTTTATAAAACGCCACCTTTGTGGTCAGATTTCACATTTTTCTCTAGCTCATGCAGAGAATATTGCTCCAAAGTGGCAAAACTTATTGGAGGCTGTTTATGCTGCCATCTGCAAACACTGAATATGTGTGAGACCACTCCAGAAACAATATGTCCACTGCCAGTAAGGAATTGCTAACAATGCCTGTTACTCAGCCAGAATTCTAATAAGAGACTCATTAGGAAGAGGAAGATCTGTTTAATCTAATATTAGCTTGGTCCAACCTATATTTAGCAGAATAACTTGCTTCCGGTTTCTACCGGGTCAGGTGGGAGATGGCAGGGTTCAGCGTGCTTCATGACTTGAGCAAGTAGCACTGAAAGATTTGCGTGCCACAAGGGATAGTGTTATAATTGGAGATACTTGATCCATGGTTCTGAATGGGACATGTCTACTGACATCTCAGGATCCAGAGGGGCTGCTCTGATTTCCAGTGGTAGTGGTAGGATGTTTCAAAGCAATTATTTAAAAATGCTACTGTTTTGACTACAATTTCCAGAATCCTCGGATCGGCAGGGTTGCATTCTGGGAGTTGCAACTCATATATAACTCATCTAAGGTCTGGTTCAGAAGCAAACCTACCAATAAAATAAATAAATCCATCAAGTGCAGATTTACACAAGCGACTCAAATTATGCAAAAAGTTTAAGAATTGCGTTTTTTAAAAAAATTGAACAAGAGGCATGATGCACATTTTAATTAAGTTTGCAGAATGCAGATCCACGGTAGAATTCTGTTCTATGAAATACAGTTACATTAGGGTTGCCTGAGGTTTCTGTTTTAAAATGCAGCATTGCCTCTGCTGTTCTGATCCAGAAGATGCAAGCAAATTTCGCACCCTGTCATGGAGCCTTGCAGTTTCACAGTGATAACACAAGGTGGGGCTTGTCCTTTGCTCTTACAGAGAGCATGGTGAAAAATCAAAGCTTACATGGTAGCTTGGCTTGCACATATTTTTCTTCCTTCCCTGACGAGATCAGCCTGAGTCTAGCTGGACCAGATCAGCCTGGGTGCTTCACTATCTCCTTCAAAAAAAAAGAGTCTCCTATAACATTAAAAAAAGAAGAGTGGGAGAGAGAGGAAGAGTTGGATCAGCTGGCTGCAATAATGTGCGCTGGAAAGCATTGCTTTAATGGGAGGGATCTCCCTTAAAGCAACCTTTCTCTCTGCCAGGAAATCACTCCAACTGGCCCCCCAAATCCGTAGCCCGACAGCTAGACCAAAAAAGGTCCCGCTCGGGCATGGACTGAGATCAGATTCAAGCTCATTCCCCCACGTGTTGAGTGAGTGCCAGGAAACAGATTGCGCCGGATGGCTCTCCCAGGGATCCACATTGAAATCTTTTTTTTCTGTGTGACCCAAGCTTTCTGCTTGGAGTGCTAGTTCTCCACCTGCAGGGAATCTGAACGATGGTAGAGGCAAGGCTACGGAGAATCAATCAAACCTGCCCTGACCCAACTCAGAAAAGTTACTCTTTGGGAACTGTGAACTTCGAGAATGCATAGCCAGGGCAAGAAAATGAGTACCTTCCCTTTCTGTTTCTGTTTGTTCAGTGTGTTCCAGCCAAATTCGTTAGGAGACAGAATAACTCTCAAGGAACACAGGACTTCCCTCGCCTGTCCTTGAAGCCTCGGGGCGGGAGGTGGAGGAAGGGGCCCATGTATGCAGCTAGCGGCTGGCCTGTCCACTGTTCCAACCAACACTTTCCAAGAGGTTTTCCGAAGGTCAACATGTCCTAGCAAAACAGGAAGCCAGACAATGGCTGGGGACTTTATCGTGGCCCTGCAGCTTTTTCCAGGTGCTGGCCTCTTCCCCTCGCTCCTGGGGACCCACTCAGGTGGCCAAAGAAAAAGACACGGGCTGGCAGACGTCTCCAAGCAAAAGGTCCCACCGCACTCAAATTGAAAAGGGGAAATGAGAAGCCGCCTTCGGATCCTTCCCTTGTCCTGGCCCTTTCTGCCTCTGACAACCTTTTGCAACTTTACTTCGGGCTGGGGAAAATGATTAGGGTTTGAAGGACATTGCCTGGATCTCTAAGCCATTGGGGCCACTCCTTGAAGATTATGGCTGCTGTATTGTTTAAAAAGTAACTTTTTTCCATGTATAAGATGCCCCCATGTATAAGACCCCCCCCCCACTTTTCTAATCCAAAATTAAGAAATCTAAGTGGGACTTAGCAAGTGTAGGGGGACAGGGATCAAAGTGCTGCAGGATCGCTTTGATCCCTGCTTTCCCCTCCACTTGTTTTTGTTCTCTCCTCGGCTTACTTCCGTGTATAAGACGAGCCTCAATTTTTAGTCTAAAGATTTTAGACAAAAGTATAGTCTTATACACCGAAAAAAATACAGCAACTTTTTTTTCTAAGGTCTTGGTATGCTAGGCTAACATAGGTGGCGGCGGCTCTAAATACACTGTTCTCTCTTCACAAGGAACATGTCAGCATCTGGATGGGAAAAGAAATATACAAATCATCTCCATACCACTTCTTCTTCAGTTCAGGAAAGAAACTGGAGGAAGATCCTTTTCTACTTCCAAATAATAATAATAATAATTGCATGCCATCAAATCAATTCTGACTTATGGTGATCCTTTCCATGGTTTTCTAGGTATGCAGTAGTCAGAGGGGTGCACCGGTTCTTCCTTCATGTGATGCTCTGGGACTGGTCAGCTGGCCCAAGGTTGCATGGGCTGGTTTTTCTCTGAGGAAACTCAAGAGTGTGACCAGAAGGACAACATTTGATGGCACTGCAAAAGGTCACTTCGCTGGGAGGGATCTCCCTTAAACGGACCCTTCCATCGCTTCAGCCTGGATCTTAAAAAAAAAAAAAAATACAGAATCTCCTGTTGCTGGACCAAAATGGTCCAACACAAGGCAGGGTCAGGCTGGTTCATGATCTCCTGTGACTTGTACGGTCGCTAAACCATAGCTCGCACCTCGCTGTGCCATTAGCGGTTTGAAACGTCAGCTATTTCTCAGTCTGATCGAACCCACAGTGGGGAATCGAACTCCCAGCCGTTGGCTCTGTGGCCAGAACCTAACTCATCAGCTATCCAGCCATCCAGCCCTCCAAAAAAAAATATCAGAGGGAAATTACCCCATGCTATCTACCCTGCTCCCCCCCCCCAGCAGCTATGGGGCTACAGGTTTTCCAAACCTGGAATCTTGTCAGGTACACAGACAGATGCACCGTGTTCTAAACCACCACAACACAGCACACCTGTCGGTGGACACTTCTGTGTGCAGATCACGGCGAATCTCTCTCTCTGCAAATTGGCTTCATCCCAGGAAAAATGTCTTCCGACCTTTGGCTTTGCTCAGGAAGGAAGCATTCCAACAGGGAAGACGTTTTGTCCTCTGCAAGAAATTCCAAAGTTATGATGCAGCAACGAGGCTATGAGAAAAATAGCAATTGTCCTGTAAAACAATATATCTGTGTGTGTGTTTTTTTAAAGCCTATTATTTCTAACTTGCAACCCAGCAATTAAAACATTAGTTTATTATTCAAAGATCCCTCCCCCTTTCTTTATACTTCCTTTCTCTCTTAATGAAATCTGCAGTCTTGACGGGCTCCAGGGGGAAATCGGAACACTGTGTTGCGGAAGCGAAGAGCGGATGGCTCGTGTTTCACCAAACCCTTCTGACGAACCAATTATACAAGCTCGAAAATGTCAGTCAAATACTAGCAATTAAACCAGGCAAGTGGAGAAGCTCAGATTCAGCATGGCGAGACCCAAGTGTGTGTGTGTAAGTGTGTGTAAATAAAACCAGCCACACTGGACCCCTTGGCAGCGTCTTGGATGCGCTTTATTTACTAATAAAAGCAAAATAAATATAAAAAGGATCCAACAACTCCTGCCTAGATAAGTTAGCAATAATACACCTGACTGTGGAGACAAACTTGGTCAACTTTGGAATGTAAGCAATAATTTTTGGAATTGTGGTCCCCTCCCCATGACAAGTTTCTTAATAGAGAAGGGCAATTCTCTATGCAAAAACAATATTTAAAAAAACAACCAACCACAGTGTAGCTGACATATAAATGTCCTGATCCAGATTAGAGATGTCCACCCATTAATAGATTTCTACATGTATCTCATTTCTGGTTTGGGAGCCACAGGGCATAGAAGTCACAACAGTTAAGCAGGTGTCCAACTGATGGAAGTTAAGCAGCAGGAGTGTCTCTGTTCTGTCACAATCATATGGCGTTTGGCAGGATCTACACAAATGCATCCATATATCTTTCACTACATATTGTGTTGTGTGACGGTGGAGAAAGTGAAGTACCCCTCTCTTGCAGTCTGAAATAGCACAGCCTTAAGGGTCAAACTAGATATTAGCTGGAATGGACAATCCATCTGGTTTAGCTGTATTTCCTCCAACAACAAGATTTTCTCATCAATGAGTGCCCTGATTTGCACTTCCAAATTTACCTTCCAAAAAACTAGCCACAAAACAAAGCATGCTATACGAAATACACATTGGTGTGGGAAATCATCATGTGCTACACCAAGCAGAAAACTTTCACTGTTGGAAGGAGCACCTCTTCTAAAAACATGCTAAGTGTATCCTCTGACTCTCAGATTTCAAATCTCACAGGGAACCGAAATAAAAAAAAGCAGGTTCAGAAAATCCTTAATCATATAGACACTCTGCCATGAATTTGGGAGCTGGTAGAGAAGGCAGAGAGAGAAGGCAGAGGATAAGTGTGAAAAGCCACAGTTTGGGGCATTCCTGTCTTGGAAAAAAATACTTTTTGTGTCTGTGCAAGGACTACAGGCAGAGGCACATATTCCCCAGTCCTGCCCTATTGGTCTTGCACTAGCGTGGTCGGCTTTCATGTATGCTTTCTCGCTCAGCTTCTTTCACATGAATGGGGGCCGCTCAGTGTTTACACGGACACTTGTGAAGCTTGCAAAAACTGACCAAACCAGACATGACGTCCGGCTAAACCCCCTTTCAATAGCACCAAGTTCCCAACAATAGGCCTGCTAAGCCGGGGTGGAATTAAGCACCCAAAGACCCCCACATCCTGTACAATAAGTCCCGGGACATGAGTTAAAACCCAACAGAAAGAGAAGTAAGTGGCTCTCTGTTTGGGGCAGAACAACACCAGGGCTGCAGGGTTTGGGGGGGTGGTGGCATGTATGCCATCAATTCGGATAATACATGGGCTGATGCACTGATCTCTTGTCAGCAAAACACTGTTTGGAACAGACCTCACGAGGGGAAATGGGAAAAAAAAATAACACGGGTTTTTCCAAGAATGTGGGACACAGAAAAGGGACAAATATTCCCTGCTATTTTTTGCATTTCGAAGAGAGGAGAAATGGTGGTGTACCGATGGGGGCATACTCTAGCTGATTTTTCCTCGGCGGGAGACAGGTGTAAGGACGTGTCTGTGTCTTACAGACAACTGTAGATGGTGTGACATAGAGACAGGATTTCTGAAGATTTTGGAATACCATGCCCATCGTTCTTCGTTTTGGGAGTTCTACCTATCTTACAGGCACTTTACAAAACACCTAAATGTGGCTCGCCTCAAAGAAAGGCCTAAATAGGAAGGCTTTGAGGTTTAGCTAGGCCTAGCTCTGCCCAAGCTTCCTGCTTAGAAAGACATTTCCCAGCAAGCCCTGGGGCAGGAAGAGGAAACCTGGGCAGAGCTAGGCCTTGCAGTTTAGGCCTTTTTATCCCAGGTGAGCGACTTTCAGTTGCCTGCAAAGCATCTTAAGGTCGATAGAACTCCTTGAACGGAGAATCATGGTATCAGTCATACAAAATAACCAGAACATCACATCCCAGTTATGCAGCATTCATTGTCCATGGAGAACAAGGGAAAAATGCACCATTTTCTTCTGGAAGAACATGACATGATCAGGAAAACAGCAACCCCGTGCCGGAATTTCTCCCCATTTAGTATAACAGTCCCAATATTTTCCAGTCAACCTGATGCTGTGTCATCTTGCATCAGACCAACTGCTCTGCCTTGTAGGATCTGGGGGGAAAAAATTCAGCTTGGTGATTTGCAAAGAATATTGAGTGCGTTTTTGATGATCCCAGCCTGAGAGCTGCTGGTTTCAGTTTGTCGGATGTTTCTTAGAACGTGCTTCTCCATCTTCTTCCCGTATTTCTGATCATGTGTCAACAAGCTGTCAAGTCCATTTGGTCAAAGTGGATTCCTGGACCAATAGCATAAGTGTTGACACCACGGGAGAAAAAGCTTCTATCATATGCCAGTCTAAGTTCTTTCAATATATCTATCTATATATCTATATGTCTATACCTATATCTATAGCGATGTATATAAATATATAGATAACCTTTCATAATAGTGGTCGTTGGGAATTATCAGCTACTTTGTTCTGTGTTGTTAAGTTGACTTGTGGAGACCCTAGATTTCAAGGTATGTCGGATACTTAAGAAGAAGCTTGACCAGTGTCATGGCAAGGATTTGAACCCAGGTCGATTGAGTCGTAATCCGGTACTCTATCCACAACACCACACTGGAACCACATGCCTCTATACCCATAGCTTTTTTTAACCCTTTCAGCAGTGAGCCACACCGATCAAATGTATATATTCCAAAATTTTGCACCTGCTTGGTATCTAGGAAAACTCACCATCTTTCTAGCCGCTTCTTTATATTATGGGTGTATTTCTTTCTGGATTGACCCGTCCAACATGATGGGAGCCCACTTCACCAGTTGTCGAAAACGGCTCCTCAAAATAAACCCTGCATCAGCTGGTATTGGGACTTGTAATTCCAGATTTCTAGGCACGAGATGCAGAGAAATCTTTAGATGGAAAATTGGAAAAACTATGGGAAAGCAATGTCCGTACAAAACGGCTTTGGGAAAGAGAACCTTTGTGGGTGTTTGTGAGACGCAGTGAATGCACAGTAGATTACAAGGCCTGGTGGTTTCTGAGTGGCCTCCACGGGAATGGGGTGTGTGTGTGTGTGCGGACGTGTGAGGAGAAGCAGCTAGTGTGAGATCCCCAGGCCACCTGAGATCCAAAAGAGTTTGGCCCAAAGAAGCCAACAACATAAGGTTGACTCCAAACACGTCCACTGTAAGGGCCTCCCCTTCCTTGTTAAAGACATTTAAGCACCGTCAGGCTGAAGGCAACAACACTGTCAAAATGGCTTCATGATGAGGAGCTGGTGAAGTACGCAAGAGAGGATTGGCCCCCTCCTAGAAAAACAGAGGCTGATGGGCTTTGTTGTGAAGCTCACCCCAGCTCCAGCCACTGCTCAGGCAGTCTTGGTTGACAGGTCTTGTTTGATCTGGATGCCTGTAGGCCACGCTCTGGGTGAGAGCGTGTGGGATAACTGCGATAGGTGGAAAAGCAAGGTGTCACACTGGACAGTGTCCGTTGGTCCTTTCCAAAGCAACAAAACCTCCCCCTCAGTAGCTATTTTTTGGGGGGGTTGCGAGAATCTTCCAAGGAAGAGTCAACAAGCCCTTTATACCTGGGACATCTAGGGTATGTTTTTTTGGCTTCATCCTCTTTGGCACAGCCTCCAACATACGACTGAGCTTTGTTCCTCCAGGAGATGCAGACAGAAGTTGCAGTTCACTGTACGATGGTCTTAGGGGTTAATCCCAGATCCCAGACTTCTCAGAGAATTGAAAGACAGCGGGCAACGGAGGTGCAGAAGTTAGGTCTGGTGGAGCCAGGGAGGCTCGGGCCTCTTCATTTCTTGTGGTGGTGCATGTCTTCCATCCCGACCCGGCCCCAGACACCCACCACAAAGGTCTCGATGTCACATTCGTTGGCCCCGCGGGCGATGCGGAAGTAGCCGTGCTCCCCCCAGTCTTTGCCCCAAGAGTTGGCGGCGATCTGAAGCCGGGGATAAAAAGTTACAAAGAACACGTCGTCAAATATAAAAGGCTTCCGGGGAAATCATGTCCCGCTTTCCCATAGCACTTCGGTAGGCATGTACTGTACGACATCTTGTGGAAGCCCTATAACAGCCCTACCCATCAGCATTATTGCCCCCATCTCCCATTGAGTTAAACTGGGGACTCCCTGCTCCACTACGTGACCTTCGTTATATCAGCCCTCAGAGAAGCTGGAAACGGTTCCTTATGAGTAATGACATGATCTGTAACTTCTAGTCTTGTAGAGCAATGCTGGTATCCTCAAAAACGTTGCTTTTGAGGAGTCCCTTTAGGAAAACCTCTTAAGAGAAGGCCCTAAGAGCTGCTCAACAGAGTTTCATCCTGTTTACCACACATCACCCATCTCTGGCCAGTGATGTAAACCAAACAGGCCAGCAAAGAGTAACCATGAGGTGATCCTTGGAGGAGTTCCCAAGACAAGGTGGCTTCTTGCCTTCAACAACTCCGCCGTCCTCCTCAACAGGTCAACATCAGCTGGCCCGTTTTTCCTGCCTTGATTAGAACTAAGATTTTTAGGTGTCAAGGCATAGGGAGAAACGGACTTCCCCTTTCAAGGCATGGAGAAAACTGGCTTTTAATTAGAAAAGGTTATTGTAAGGCCACAAGGTTTTGAACATGGAGTTATTGGAGAAATTTCAGGACTGGCTTCAGCCGATCAGAAGACCTTCTGTGGCTTCTTCCAAGTGAGAGACTGGACAAGATCTTCTCGGCTTCCCCTTTCCTCTCTTTGGCGTGATGGTTCCACGTGAGGAACAGGACAATTGTCCTTCTGGATGGCAGGAACTGGCCAGAGGTGGGGAAACGGACCACCATTGGCCAAAAGGTCCAGGGCACAAAATCCAAAATAGAGGTTGAAAAATCCCGGGGTGTCACCTTGTGCTGCTTCACACAACCACTTGTGGAAATGGTTGGGATGGAAGATTACCGCAAACCTATTCGCCAGCTGCTCTTCCATCCCAAGTTTCCGTAAGTGGTTTTCTTCCATCAGCAACCTCGTTGAAGAAAGATAGGAGACGTACACAAGCTTAAATAAATAATTGAGACATATATCTCTGGCAATTTGTAGGGGAGGAAAAGTTCAAGACTCACCCAATATTTCTGATTTGACCCATCAGGCATGCGTTCTTCTCCCCACCTGTGGGACAGAATGGAACAGAAAGCTTTGTTGAACCTCCCTTTTTGAGAAGAAGATTCAAAAGTGGACAAGGAAAACCGTCTGAGATCGATAAGCATCCTACAAGCTGGATTCCCTCCCTCGCACCACCAATCAAGTCACCGTTGTGGCTGCAGACTTAGTGCAGTTGTTCTTCCCGGTTTTGGGATGAGGACAGGAAAACTCCTACCGGCCTCGGCTGATATCTTTGAGTCCTTAAAGGGTCAACCAACAGCCTAAGCAGGTCATGGAACAAGAGCAGGTGCCCCAAGACGGTCACAACCTACAGCTGTTGAGAAGCATCTTGCCCTTGGCCTCATACTCCTCCCTTTCTCTTTGAAACCATATACACTCCTCTCCCGGTAAGAAGGAAAAACAGATCCCGTTTCCATGAATCTGTTTGTGTCCCCTCCGTGGTGTGACTTCTTCGGTCTGCTCTGAAAGACAGGGCGGGCGAGTCAAACAGCCGTTGTCTTGTGTTTTTTTGCAGGGGATCCCCATTTGGTTGTTCACTGATCATATCAGAGTCTATTCTGTCATTTCCTCCTACAACGCCGTTCCAGGAGATAGTGCGAGTGGAAAATCCAGCATCAGCCCTGTGGCTGAAGGCCCCTGGTTGTTTCTCCTTGGCTCACCTCCAAGATTCCTCCATTTTTTTTTATTTTTTTGGAGTTCTCTTCATTCCAAGAGAGGCCTTTATGCCTTTCCCAAAGTGTTTTGGTCTCTCTGCTATGGCAACACTCTGTTTACCGGCAGTTCTCAAGTGGAGGTAAAGGATCTGAAGGGTCACTCAAGCCAAGGTTTTGTCTGGAGCTTTTACCATTTCCCTGGCTGGTTCCCATTCCATGTGAATCCTGGCTCTCCCATCCCACCTGAAGGCTACAGAGGCCAGTAGGCAGAGGCCGCCTTTCAGAGCCAGGTAAACCAAGATTCCCCTGGGCTGGACCACACTGTGGCAGTGGGTGGGAGGGTGGGGAGTGGAAGGCATAGCACATCTGGCCAGGGGTGGAGGAACAGACGAAAGGTAGAGGCCAAAAAGGCTCTTTCAGAGGCATGCCAAGAAAGATACACAGAGAGAGACACACTCAGAGGAATGCAGGCAAACATTCACACATACAGAGGTCAAGAAGGTACGAAGATGAGGAGGCAAGCAGGGGTGGACGGGCTGAGAGCAGCTTGAGTTTGAGGCGGGGCAGGACCCCCTTGCCTTAACAGATGTGCCACCTCTGGCTCAGCCCAGGAAAGAAGAAGTTGGCAAGTAATGCAACTGCTGGACACAGACACCGACTATGTCCAGGGGAGCAAAAATATTCAATCGCCTCTTGCAACTCAGAGTGAGTTGGCTTTAACCCAGACGCGGGAGCCAGATTTAACCAGAGAGCTCAAAGCCGGAGAAACCCAGGCCTGCATCGCCTCTGGGTTGGGGTCACAAGACGTCTCCTCCTCTATGACTGTGAAGTTTTTCCTCGTTTTTGCCGCAACACGCGTGCACGGCTACAGCACACCAAAGCGGCGGGGTGTGTGTTTGCAAAACCGATGGAGGGATTTCTCCCTCAGGCAGGTGTGCCGGCGTAGCTGTCCTGGGACTGCACAGAGCCTCCCGCCGGGCTCAGCTCTGCCAAGACACGGCTTCCCCACCTGACGGGTTGGTTTCTGACGTCCGCAGGAAAAGTTCTCGCCCTCCCGGACGACGAGACCAGCCTTATCTGGCTGCAGCTTGTTCCCGACGCCTCTGCTCGCTCGCTCTCTTCCCCCTCAGGGCCTCCCTTGGCAGTTGGCGTTCCTCATTCCACAAGCGGTAGTGAGCTGGCATACATCAAACCAGCTGGCGCCCAGAGGAGGATGAGGAGAGCAAGCCCTCCGTTGAAGCACCGCAGAGATGGAAGACAATGAATTGGTGCCACGACGGAGAGGGCACCAAATTCAGAAGGTCTGATGTTCCTCAAAAGCCCATGAGATCCCAAGGGCACCAAATTCAGAAGGTCTGATGTTCCATGAGATCCCAGGAAAGAGACAGGAAGCATGCCTCCTTCCACATTTAAAGCTTTTAGAGTAGTAGTGACTATAGGCTCATCTACCCTCGCTCCCTTCAAGCCTTCTCTCTTCCCTTCGACTTAGCTGCAATCTTAACTGTAGCCGGAAGAGACTGTCCCAGAAACACTATGTTGTTTCAAGTCATCCTTGCTGTAATGTAAAGCATTTGAGCATGGTTTGGGCTTGGATGGGTTATTAAGAGTCATTGACTTTACAAAAGTCCCTCCCCCTTCAATTGCTGATGTGCTACAATCATGAAGCCAGAGTGTTTGGACTCTTCTTGCGGGCCAGAGTAAATACGTGGAGTTTTATGAAGAACACCAAATTTATTACTATATCACTGGACCCAAATCCAGGAAAGGGAAGGGAAAGAAAGCACCAGGTGTGATTTAAAAAAAAATCTCACCCTGTGAGTTTGACGGAGTGAGTGCCGTGCCGTCGGTAGTTTTCCGGCTTCCAGGCAGCGACAGGCGTATGCCGGTAAATCCCACCTCGATACATGAAGAAGTCTTCGTGGACCTCCATGATGGCTGTGGGGGGAAAGAAAGGACACGGATTAAGCCGGGGGTTGGAGGGACTCTATGCCTTGGATGTAAAAGTCCACTCATGAACTTTTCAGTAAAAGGTGGCGGTTCTAGTTTTAGAAAATGCAGAAAGCTAGAAGATGTTAGCCGTGCCAAGAGAAATAGAAAGTACAGGTTGTTATAACTGATCGTTCAAGGCAAAATTAATGGGAAAAGCAGGGTAGACTGAGAAGAATTGTCTAGGCTGGAAAATCAAGGAAGAAAAATGAGGAGGAAGAGGAAAAGAACCATCTTAAGGTCTGTCTGCACGACCAACGAATATTCGTCCCATCGTCCGTTGACTGTCGCAGTTTTCACGTTCACAAGCACCCTGGAAATGATAGATTATCCAGAGCAGGGGTTCCCAAGATTGCGTCCCCGGATGTTCTTAGACTAAAACTCCCCAAAGCCTTCACCACTAAACGTGATAGCCAGAATTTCTGGGAGTTGTAGTCCAAAAACATTTGGAGACTCCCGGCTGGGAACCAATAATCCAGAGCATTATTTGTTTTGTTTTGTTTTGTTTTTAATTTAGGGACTCGAAAGTGGCCTCAAGTGATTAAGAATACAAACTAACTCAAATCACAATGAATTAAAACAGTAAAAGGCAAGTAAACCTGTAATCATATTCAAACAATTTGTCAAAATTATATTTTTAAAGCCTTAAAAACAACCCTTAAAAGCAAGACATAATTAAAAAAAGAGTGTCCAGTGCTCAGGATCACCTGATAACTGGTTAAAAGCTTGCCTAAAATTCTGCAGAAGATCCTTTCCATCCCAAAGCTAGCATCTGGGGACTAGGAGAAAGAATTACTATGACACTACCTTAAGTCTGTGGTGCTAACATAATTTTGTCCCTTCCACAAGATTTCTTTGAACATCCACCGATACAGAGGTTGTGCCCCCCCCTTTCTATAGGTTTTTGAGGGCCATGCCTGCTAAGGGTTCAGCCTGCACACACACTGCGGAGGGGTTGCCACCCTTGTTCTGGAAGACGCCATAACTGTTCACACTTCCAGTTTTTTTCTCTTGCACAGGAATCGATGAGGCGTTCAAAGACAGAGTCCAGCTCTTTCTAGGTTAATCATTGACAAGTTTGCAAGTAAAAGGATCAAGCTTTGAATGTGGAAACCAGCGAAGGGACTTCTACAACATTTTTGCAGAAGCTGGTCTTCTGAACTTTGGGGGACGATGGTTCTCAACCTTGAGTAGCCTCAGTGATCTCGGAGAGCTGCTCCCGGAAAACCTGGCTTTGAATGTGGAAACCAGCGAAGGGACTTTTACAACATTTTTGCAGAAGCTGGCCTTCTGAACTTTGGGGGGACAATGGTTCTCAACCTTGAGTAGCCCCAGTGATCTCGGACAGCTGCTCCCGGAAAGCACGGCTCGTGGGGAAGGCTTCTGGGAATTGTAGTCCAAGAACATCTGGGGACCCCGGGTTGGGAGCCCCCTGCTTTGGGGCAGCTGCTGAAGCAGAGGAGGATTTATTGTGCAGAACTGGGAAGAAGGTGGAGCTGGCCAGAAATGCTGGACGCTTATTTCTGAGCTCAAGCAGGAGCTCCTGAACATAGAGGAGGCTGTTCGAATCTATGCCTGCTCCTCTGAACAAAAACTGAGATTGTGGAATGCCAAGGCTCTAAGATAGACTGCTCCTGCACAAGGAGCTTGTGGAAAAAGCCCTCTTTCCCTGGGTCACAAAATCCCTTCTCCTCTCACGCATGCCTGAATGTGCTGTGCTGTGTTAGGCTGCACAGAGAAACGTTAATGGTGACTCTCTGCCTCACTCGTTACCTAAAGTTCCACCCAAATGTCAAGTTGTTTCATATAAATAAGGACAATCAGCCTCTTCCATACACACTAGCCTTACCCTGCACTGGTCCATTCTCCATTAATTCCTTCATTATCTCCTTTTCCTGCAAGCAAAAGGAACAATTCAGTTTTTTTTTAAAAAAGGGAAAAGACAAGGTTGTTTCTCTGTCTTCTCTAGATATGGAAAAAGATATTTTTGGCTGCGATCTGGGGGTCTTGGAATGAAGCTGAACGGCGCAAGATGCCAAACACATATGGCAGACAAGCTGTGGAACTCACTGCCGGACAAGGTTGTTTCTCTGTCTTCTCTAGATGTGAAAAAGATTTTTTTTCCACGATCTGGGGGTCTTGTAATGAAGCTGAACAGCGCAAACACATACGGCAGTCCTAAGCTGTGGAACTCACTGCCACAGGATACAATTATGGCTACCAGTATAGATCACTTTAAGGGAGGATTAGGTAGATTTATGGAGGTTACGGCCATCAGGGGCTACTAGTCAGGATGCCTATGGACCCCCTTCAAGGTACCAGTTGCTAGAGCAAGAAGTGAGGAATCTTATTGACTTCACCTTCCGCTGTGGGCTTTTCATAGGCATTTGCTTGGCCCTTGTGGGGGAGAAATGGATGCGCCAGGCTCAATGGGCCTCTAATTGGATTGAGGAGAGCTCTCCTCCTATTCCATGAACTTCTTCGTTCTTTAAACAAACGACAAATTTAATAAATTTAACCTCCCCTTAAATGCACAGGGACTAACTGGGTGCAAATTTGGCACCCTCGTTTGTGTGGGTGAATTCCATCAATCCATAACCCCAGATTGATCAATAACTCACGTCCGAGGAGAGGCGATACGCAGGGGTCGACTGGTAGATATCGTTGGAGTGGGATCGTGGGTTGGGGCACCGCGCCGTGGCTTGCCGCTTCCCTCGCCCCGTGGATCGGCTCTGCATCATGCAAGGGGGTGCAGGGGGGGATCCTTCTTTCGCCTGGCTGGTGAAGGGGTAGCATTCGTCCGTCACCACTCTGCAGAATTGCAAAAGAGTGGCCGAGGGGGGAAAGGGGTATGATTTTAGAGGCGATCTGGGGATTTGCAACCTGAATGTTCACATCCAAGAGCAGAACGACACACGGGGCACACAGTTCCACATTGTATCTTGTTTTTAGAACACTATAAGCAGCAGCCATAGGAAAGATCCATCGAAATCATAGCACACTCGGTTTATTTAATTTTTTAAGAACCCTTTCCTTACAGGTCATCAAACTCCCTTTCTTTCCCAGGGATTTATAGCAACTTTAGAGGGGGGAGGCGATTCTTTAAAATCAAGATCATAACGGCGGAGAAAAGAGTGTCTGCCTGCCTGTCTGTTCTGTCTATTTCAGTCCCAATTCTACTCATTCCACATTGGCTTCTGTCTTCAGATTAAACAGATGCGTTGCAATGCCGACCACTTAAAGACTTAAGGGTTGGATTTGAGCAGGATTGAAAGTGTGGTGGGAATGGGGGTGCACATGTTAGACCTGCCCCCGGGCTCACTGCTGCTCTTTTTCATAGGCGTCCACCAGCTTTAAGCCTCAGATGGGTTGTTTGTCTCTTTCTCTTAGCAATCCCCCATCCTCCTATGCAAGAATTGCCAACGTTAAGCCTCGGATGGGTTGTTTGTGTCTTTCGGAACAATTGGCTGACAGGTCTGTGTTTGCTATTTGTGGCTTATGAAGAAAGCTGTCAAAACCTTAATCAATTTCTTGAGGTGGGCGAGAAAGCCCATGAATGTTCTTTAAGAGCCCCTAGTCCTGACTCTTCCACATTTCATGGCTTCCAGTCTTCAACTCAGTGCAATGGACCAGAGTAGACTCTTCGATATCAACTCACCCTCTCCTGCGCAGGTACCACCAGGCCCCATCGACTCGCCCTCCGTTGCAGCCTTGCTGGTGGCGGGTGTTGCACGAGAGGAGGTTCTGGGGGGACAAGGCAGGCGTCATGTGCCCCATGGAATGGATGGAGATCCGGTCTGAGGCCACCGCTGGAGAGAAGAGGACATAAAAAGGGGGTGAGACATCGGATGAAGTAATGCTATTTTGGAAGCCAGCCTCCTGTTTTTTAGTCTCATCCCAGGGAAGACAGTGATTTCAGAAGCAAATCTGTGACCCAAGCTTGGACATGAGGGTGGAGGGGCTGTCCCTAATCTTATGCTCTTCAGGGGTGTTGGACTACACGTTCCATCATCCAGGCAGGTCTACTCCTGAAAAACCTAAACATGCGCTGTAGCACAGAGGCAGAAGGGCGAGAAAAGTTGGGGGAGGAAGGAATTGCTTTAAGGAGCACTGCAAAACCTAGCATCCCCAGAATAAATGGCCACAGCATGGATTCTGGGACTTGGAGTCCAAAAAAGAGTAATATTTCCAAGCTATGGAAAAATCAATAGAAAAGATAGAAATAAATCCAGAAGTAATAGAGGGGAACTAGTACCTCTAAATCCTGTGTCCAGTTCTGGACATTGCACATGAAGAAGGATACCAACAAACTGGAGCAAATTCAGAGGAAGGCAACTAGGATGATCAGGAGACTGGAAACCAAGCCCTTTGAAGAAAGACTGAAAAACTGGGCATATCCAGCCTTGAGAGAAGAAGACGGAAGAGAGATAGGATAGCACTTTTCAGAGACTTGAAAAGCTGTCCTAGAGAGGAGGGGCAGGATCTGTCCTTGAGCATCCCAGAGTGCTGGACACATTATCCTGGGCTCAAGCGACAGGAAGCCAAATTTAGGCTGAATTTCATGAAAATCTTCTTAACTGTTAGAGCAGTACAACAAGGGAACCCTTGACCTCAGGGGGAGGTGGTGGACACTCCGGGGAGGTGGTGGACGCTCCAAGGCTGGAGGCATTCATGAGAAATGTAGATAACCACATGGCGGATCTGCTTTGATTTGGATTCCTGCCTTGAGCAGGGTTTTGGACTCAATGGCCTTATAGGCGCCCTTCCAATTATTCTACAGTTCTTGAGAGCCCTTGAAGGGGAATGGGCTGATTCCAGGGTGAACTTCCCTGGATCAGAACCCACTTCCTTAGAGCCATGGGACATAAGAGGGAAGCCACAGGTTCTTGTTGACGGTGTACGCCATTCCGGAGTGGAGGAATCGGTGCAGAGTGGCAGACGCTCCGATCCTGAAAACCCACCTGCGCGCGTTCCGCTCACCTGCCGTAGAAAAGGCCCAGGATCCCGCACAGTTCCCCTGGTCCAGCGGCTCATGAATCATCCCAGCCCATTTGTTGGCAGCGTTGAAATGCTGGGGCAGGATTTCGTTGGCCTCCATGTTCATCTACGGAAAGCAGAGAGAAAGGAAAAGGGACTCAAGGAGAGCCAAGTATCCACACAATTCCCATGAGAAGCAGAACAAAGACCACAAACGTCTTGGGGGGCCCTTCCCCCTCCCGATCCTGCATCTTTCGCAGGGAACTGTCAGTTCCTTTCCCTGGGTGACTTTTCTACGGTTCTGGTCTTGGTAGAATGAGGCCACTCAAAGACACCCTCCTGGACCAGAGGACTCCCTGGTACTTTGAGCCGATCCACATAATACCATCCTACGATCTGTTGGCCCATCTGGTTATTGCATAAGGTTTCCATTCTGTTTTTGTTCCATAGAATTCAATGAGATGCATGTGGCGTGTCCCTTCTCTTTCCTCCTCACAACGACCCTGCAAGGTTCGCTTAGCGACAGACCGAGGGACGTGAGGCTGCTCCCATAAAGCGTTGTAGCAGAGCCCAGAACACGCCCAGTCCAGTAACCTGATCACAAGGCCAGACTGGTATAAAAATATCCATATTTGGTGCATGGCTTCAAACCCAACAGGTGGTGTGTGGCAGTGGTTAGAGCATGGGTGGGAAAGCTTGGGAGAGCCAGGCTCAAATTCCCAATGAGACATCAAACTCAGGGGTGACTATGGACTGCTCAGTCTCTCTCTCTCTCTTGCTCACCTGGCCTACCTCACAAGACAGTTGTTAGGAGGAAGGGATGAGAAGGAGAACCAAGTACACAGCGTTGAGCTGACTGGAGGAAGAACTATTGATGAATGTAAATAATAAGTAAGAAATCGGATAGACTTGCTTAGTCTCTCTCTCTCCTTCCTTCCTTCCTTCCTTCCTTCCTTCCTTCCTTCCTTCCTTCCTTCCTTCCTTCCTTCCTTCCTTCCTTCCTTCCTTCCTTCCTTCCTTCCTTCCTTCCTTCCTTCCTTCCTTCCTTCCTTCCTTCCTTCCTTCCTTCCTTCCTTCCTTCCATCCTTCCATTCCCTTTCCTCTCCTCTCCTCACCTCTCCTCTCCTCTTTCTTTCTTTCTTTCTTTCTTTCTTTCTCTCTCTCTCTCTCTCTCTTTCTTTCTCTCTCCAACAGGTCTTCCCTGGCGTTTGGCTTCCCTTCAAGAAACTTTTAGAACACAAGCCAAGGAATTTCTGCACCTTCCTTTCCTGGCTTAAAAACAACCCTGAGCTTTGAACTTTTTGAGGTTGAAACGGCTTCTTCTGCCGGATGACAGCTCAGGTTCCTCCGGCTGACAGGGCAAGGTTTCTCGCCTCCCTTCTGGAGAAAGCAGCGCCTCTGGCATTCCCGAGCCCAAAGGAAAAAAAAGATCCCGGTGGATGGATGGATGCCCCGGCCGGAGGCCCCCTTCCCTTTCCTCCTTCTAAAAACAGAGCAGATGGGCTGGGGTTTTTCCTGGCTTGCTTCCTTTGAAACTGCCGCTGACGGCTGCTTTTGACCTCGTGTTTGCTTTCGCCTGTGTATGTGTGCGTATGTGTCGGGGGTGGTGGTGGTGGAGGAGGGGAGACAGATGACATCCCGGGTAAAGCGCCCTGCCTTCACGGCAGGGTCCGAGTCCTGCTGACTCGGCAGACCCCACTGATGTCCCGAGGGCTGCAGCCGTCCCACAATTGGGGGAAAAAAACAACACTGCCGAAAATAGAGAGAGGCCATCTCCCCCCCCCGCCCCCTGCCCCGGGACTGGACTTACGAAGTTGCTGAGTTAGCATTTCTTTGCAAAATCTCCAGAGGCCCCTAATGGGTCCTCTTGCTACAAAGCCACACATCTCTCCCTGCATGCACATTTTTTAAAAAAATAATAAAATAAAGGGAAGTGAACCACCCTTTTATAGTGCAGATTGTAAGCTTTCTCGACTGAGAAAAAGAGTCTGTGTACGCATGGGCGCTCCCCTGCACATCGGAATATGCAGCTTAGGTACTATTTCAGTGTTCCGTGGGGCAGAAGAGCCCTTGCCCCCCGATAAATTACAAACCGTGGGCCCATTCATTCCAACTCCCATTATTCTACAATTCCGTGATTCTGCTGATATAATTTGGTGATTCTCCCACATTCTGAATGTTTACAGACCGATGCGCAGAAAGGCAGAGAAAAAAAATAAAACTCCCATAGACTGAGATGAAAAAAGAGACCCTTTCCATTTCTGTTCAAGTGTCAGGAGACAGCCAAATCTTAGGAACATGGCCCTTTTGGACTACAAACCCCAGAATCCCCTAGCCAGCCTAGCCAGACATACCTGGAGTTCATTCATGTTCATCACAGAGGTGGGCGGCTTGATGGTGCCCAGGCGGTAGTGGATTCCCTCCTCCAGGGTCATGCCCCAGAATTGGCTGTAGTTCGATGCCCTCCATCTAAAAAAAAGGAGGAGGAGGAGGAGAATCGGTTGAGGGGATGGACCAGCTCTCCCGAGGAAGCCCCCTTTTCTTTCCTTAGAGGTGGTGCTAACATTTCGAGCCAACTCCCTGCAGATATGATATTTCCTCTCCCAGTGGATTACACGAGGATCTACTCAGAGCCAGCTCAACAAAGCAGACAGACCCAACCGCAGTCCAGAGGAGGCTGGTGACTTGATCTAGTGGGGGCAGTGGTGCCGATCCCCTCCGGCTTCAACCCAAACCTTACAGTTCTTCTGAACCGTAGCCACAAAACCGGTTCAGCACCTCGGACAGCTCCTAAAAGTTCAAGCTGGGAGTGGCCTCATTGGCTCTAGTGTCAAACTAAAGTGAATCCAGAGCTGGGGGGCGGTGAATTCGGCGCTTGGTTGCATTTTGACCTTCATGGACTCTAACCAAGGTGCCAGACCACAGGCACTCAATAGGTTCAGCACCATGGATAGGATCTGTGAAGTTCGGACTAAACTCCGGTGCAGATCTACTGCTCCCCATCACTACCGCAAAACTCAAGAGCCACCGGCGCCTAATGATCGGAACAGGATGCCCCAAGCAGTCTTCCCCTCTGACTCTCTGTTGGACCGCGTCTCACCCGTAGTTCCCTCTGTTCACGGCATCCACCATATCAGCGTTGATGAGGCAAGCGTGGTTTTCACAGTTCCACTGCCCGTTGGCGTAGCAAGTGCTGAAGAATGGGAAAGACACAGAACGGATTAGGCTTCAGGTCACCCAAAGAACTCCGGCTGGTCGCAAAAAAGGCAAACTGGACTGGAGCTACTGTGTTTCCCCAAAAATAAGACAGGGCCTTATATTGATTTTTGCTCCAAAAATGCATTAGGGCTTATTTTCAGGAGATGTTTTATTTTACAGTCCTGTCCTCTTCTTCTGGTTGCTGCACAAAGGTGGAGGGAAGGGTTTCACTTCACTGGGGCTTATTTTTGGGGTAGGGCTTCTATGACGAGCATCCCGAAAAATCCTACTAGGGCTTATTTTCAGGATAGGTCTTATTTTCAGGGGAACAGGGTTGTGGTGTGAGAAGCTGGGATCCTGGACCTTATTTAGGTTGCCTTTCTGTACATAGGGATGTGACTGATAGCTCGGTGTTTTAGGAATATGGCTGTGGAGCCAAAGGTTGGGAATTCGATTTCCCACTTGTGCTTCCTGGGAGAAAAGCCAGCCTGGGTAGCCTTGGGCCAGCTGCGCAGTGTTCCCAGAAGAAGGGAAGGGGAAACCACTTCTGAGGATTCCCTACCAGAAATGACTCCATGGCACATGCTTATCATCAACCTTTTAGAATTCCGGAGCTAGAAGGGACCCTGTGGGATCATTAAGCCCAGCCCCTGTCAAGGACGCCTAGCCGGGGAATCGAACTCCCAAACTCTAGCTCTACAGCCAGATGCCTCCACCACTGACCCACCCAGCCAGTTAGATTGAGACGCGCATCCACTGTCTTTCTGGCATTCTATGATCCCCGCAAAGCTCTTCTTCAACACCACATTTCAAATGAATTCATTTTAGGGGTGGGAGGGTTTTGACCCCTTTAGAAGAGGCAGTCTGGAAACCTAACTTCCCCAAGCACTGCTCCAGATGAGGCATGACTTTGCAAAGTGTTACAAGTCCCTAAAACTTTTAACAGACCAGACCCGGGCAAAGTGTGGCCCGAAGGCCACGTATGGCCCGCGAGCCGCTCCTGTCCATCCCACCGGTCATCGCTGCAGTCCGGTGTTCAAGCACTTGTTCAAGCCCAAGACAGACTGGATTTCTCTCACTGAACAAGTTAAACATCAAAATCCTTTATAGCTTTTTGTCTAAAGTTGATCAGTTGCTTACTTTCATTTTTAAGTAAAGTTGGTTCGGCCCCCGAACACAGTTCAGATTTTTCATGTGGCCCCCCTATAGAAATTAATTGCCCACTCCTGCAATAGATAGAAGTCTCTCAAAGCTTTAATTTAAATGTCTGCAGATTTTTAAAATCGGGCCAGTACTAACAGCTTAACGCCTACAGCCGCCACCACCCCGTCCCAAAAAAATGTTAAATTTAAATTCATTTTTATTTGTCGTTTACATTGCATTGCATGTTTACAGTTGTTTTACCACGGTGCCACTCCCCAGAGGGACCACATGGGCAGTTTAGAAATCTAAATAAACATACAAACAAATATTATGTAGAAACTTGTTCTTTAATTGCAGCAAACCGTGGTGCTTTTTTTTCCCCTTTTTGTTTCTTTTCCTTTTTCAAAGACAGATTGCACAGAGCTGGTGGCGCACAGACACACTTTGCAAATCATCGAGCCAGCCCCGATTCCTTTCACGGAAGTGGTGGAAGAAGTTTTGCTTTGCTTTGCTGACCAGGAGCCAGTTCCAGCCTTAGCTAAACGTCATGTCATGCTTGGCATTTTCCCTCCGCTGAAACACTTTATAAAAAAAATTCCTTTCCCTGACACTTGCTGCTCTCACCCCCTGCCCCCTTCCTTCCCTGCCTTGAAGCTTTCTCCTTTTACGGAGCTGCCCCAGCACCAGCGGGTCCTGGCCGGCTGCAGCCTGCGTCTTGCCAGGACCCGCTGAGCGGCAAAGAAGAGGAATAAAGTTTTTTAACTTTCTTTTTTCCCGGTGGAGGACACAGCCTGGCCTCTAGCAAAAAATAAAGCAGGAGACCGAGAAACAGCTGAAGCTTCCTGAGTCCCTGTTCTTGGAAGGAAAACCGCACTCGCCGCCCCCCATCCTTTCATTCTAGAAAGAGGTTGGGCAGATGGCTGGTGCTTTTCAACGCGAAAGGAGAAAGTTCAAAGTGCTGGTTCTAATCTATAAAGCCCTAAATGGCTTTGGTCTCTAAAAGACCACATCTCCCTCAATGAGCCTGCCAGGCATTAAGATCATCATTCTCGCAGTCCCACCACCTTCGTTGGTGTGTTTGGTGGGGAACACAGGAGAAGGCCTTCACTGTTGCTGTTCCCAGACTTTGGAACTCCCTCCCACTGGACGCCAGGCTTAAAAAATTCTTTTCCTGGCTGTAAGCCAAACATTTGATGGCTTTGAGCCCTACAACCCTGGTGTCTTTATTTCTACCATTACGCTTTCCATTAGCTGTCCTGAACCAAGCCATGGTGAGGCATCCCTATCAGCTAAGGGCCCAGGAGACTCTCTCACTCCTGGACTTCCCTGGTCTTGTGGGCCAGAGTCAGGCAAACTTCTGGGGGCACTTAAGGTGATCCCCCCCATCCCTTGCACCAACAAACCTCATTCATGTGCTGCCTTAATTGTCGCTTCTTGATTTTTCCTAGCACCTTAGCGCTAAAGCAACTGCCAAGCACTATATCGCTAAATTCTGCCACCACCCCCAGTACAAAGCAATACAAAGCTATATATATATGAATAAATAAATGCATAAACCGAAGGATCGGCAGAGGGGAAGGGGCCAAGAAAATTCCAGAGCAGAAACGAGTAAGAGAAATATTGTTTGGAGAGTTGTCCAAATAAAAATCTCTGCAGAACCCAGATAAGGAAGAAAGAAACGCTGTAAGATCCCGGATAGTGGAGAAATTGCTTTATAGTCGGAACAGAACTCCACCACTTACCAGAGGTTACAATTCTCTCGGTAGGTTGCCCCCGTGGGAAACTTGTGTCCATTACGGATGCAAACTGGGAAAGAGGAAACAGGGATAAGAAACGGAGAGTTCATTGATCTTCTTGTGATCTTCTAAGGATGTGTATATTCTGTTAGTCAAAGACTCAAGAAAGAAACCGGGGAAATTACAAGGCAGTCGATGCAACTCTGCGAAATATCTTCTCAGCAGCCCAAGTTGACATCCTGAACTGCCGGATAGCGTGGTCCCCAACCTTGGGCCTCCAGATGTTCTTGGATTGCAGCTCCCAGAAGCCTTCACCACCACTTCTGCTGATCAGGATTTCTCGGAGTTGAAGTCCAAGAACATCTGGAAGCCCAAGGTTGGGGACCATAGGTTTAGACATCTGGTTGGGAGTTTGATTCTGCCCTTTGTCTCCTTGACAATAGGGTGGTCCGGATGATCTATAGGGTGCCCCACCACTAGCTCTGCACTTCTAAGGTTATTATTATTATTATCCTACATCAAGAACTGGTCGTACACACCCCTTCTAGCTGCAAGACTGGAAACAGTGAAGGATTTTCTTGAACTGCAACTTCCAGAAATCTGGACCAGCACAGCTAGGGGTGAAGGGTGTGGGGAGTTATACACCAAAAACATCATCAGATAGTGGAAAGGGAGCAGCAGAGGAATATTTGGGGAATCCAGTTAGACAGTTTGAATTTGTAGGAGTTCTTGGCATTCGCCCCACTTTGCTTACATATTCGTACGTAAATCATATACGATGGAGACGTCTTAGGTCCCTAGTTGAAACAAAGTCCCATATACTTTTCTTAGAACTGCTGTTCCAGGAGGATGGTGGGCCACCCTTATGCTATCATGCAAGCGTGGGGGGCATCCTAATTTAGCTCTAGGTTAATTACCTCCCACCCATTGGTTCTGTGAAGACAATTGCATACAGTTAGAACATCCCCACCCCTTTTAAATATACACGGAAAATATGAGAGCAATGCCACCCTTTTAACCTCTCTCAGCGGGGAAAAAGAAAGGGTGGTTTGAAACTCACAAAGGTTAAATCATGAAATTAAAGTCTCCGGTTGTGTGGGAGGGATTGTGCTGGAGACTGAATGGTTTTGGATCTCAAGTACAGGGGGGTCAGCCCTGGATTTTATCCGAGGCATTGCAGGTTCCTTTGCCTGGAAAACGCAAGGACATGAGAGGAGCCATCGACTCAACGGAGCATCACATGTTCTACAGAAGATCTCATGGGCATTCTAAGGATCTGGTGGATGTTGCTAGATCCCAGCTCCCATCTGCTGGCACGGCTGGTAGGCTTTGTAGTCCAGCCACATCTAGAGTGCTATGCTCGAATGAGGAAGACTCTGGGCATTTAATGCTTTGGACGTCGACCATGATGTATTTTCTCAACCCAGACAGGAGCAGTTTGGACACCTGGATTGGGGTGGTTGACAGCTTCCATCAGCCCTCTCCAGCATAGCTGTTGGTGAAGGATAATGGGACTTGTATTCTGACAATACCTGTCAGCTGGTAAAAGAGCTCTTTCCTGGGGGGACACCTGTTTTGGGGGGCTTTTACTCGGACATGTCATATCCAATATTCACCAAACCTGGAGGGGGTTGTAGAGGAGAGTCATCCCACGAGTCAGTTCAGGTTTGGTGAAGATGGGAGATGCGATGTCCATGTTACAGCCCATGTACAAATGGACAATGCGAATAATAGTTCAGTATTTCATTTCATTCTGGGCAGGTATGTTTTCCTGAAGCACCCCAGAACAAACCATGAAATGGGCCAATTTGTGGGTGTTTTTTTTTTTCTTTGTGGTCTGGTCCGTGCTCTAACTGTGGCCGATCTGAAGACACATTCGGGGGGGGGGGGTTTGCTTTGTGGTCTGGTCCGTGCTCTAATTGTGGCCAATCTGAAGACACATCCACATAAGGAGTTGGCAGGCATATTCAGAAGTAACCACCAACAGAAAATTCACCTATGCCCCCCACACCCCGGATTGCAAGAACCCCCACCCTGTCCTCAAATGGACAGCTACCCAGACATATCCATCAACCGGTCTCTCCTCTTCGACTTAGTTCCCAATCAATACATCTCCATAGCCACCTCCAAGTTAAAACCATGGACTGACAGAATCATGGACTTGGAAGGGACCTCTAAGGCCACCGAGTCCAATCTTCTGCTCAAGGAAGGAACCCAAATCAAAGCAGATCTGACAGATGTTTGATCCATTTTCTCTTGAATGCCTCCAGCCCTGGAGCGCTAACCATTTCCTGAGATCATAGGTTCCCTTCTCGTACTGCTCTAACAGTTAAGAAGTTTTTTCCCTGCTATTCAACTGAAATCTGGCTCCCTCTAGCTTGAGACTATTGTTATGAGTCCTGTACTCTGGGATGGTTGAGAACAGATCCTGCCTATTACTGCTATTAGACATAATGACCTACCTCGCTGGACAGGGAACGGAGGCTCGATTCCCAAGCAGTACTCCCAGAAATCTGGGCAGCAGTCTGAGACCGTGCGGTTGCAGAAAAGGTCGCAGTAGCAGATGGTGTCAAGGTAAGGCACCGTGCATCCATCGTCTCTGCCGTGGCAGCAAGCGTCCTGATGCTCACAGTAAGAACCTCCAGCATCTCGGATCCCACGCTCGTGCAATCCCGGAGCCAGCTCTCTCCGTGTCCGGGATACCCGGGCGGCGAGAGTCTCGGGCGGCAAGAGCAGGAGTGCCATGAGAGTCCATAAAGCCTTCATTTTGTCTTTGGGTTTTCCGAAATCCACAATCACTGGAGAGGAAGGAAAACGGAAGGCGTCAGAGAAGGCTTCGAGGTGCAGGGGTGTTCCCTAAAAAGGCTCAAACACTGCCTTCTGTTAGAACAGTGGTCCCCAACCTTGGGCCTCCAGATGTACTTGGACTACAACTCCCAGAAGCCTTCATCACTAGCTGTGCTGGCCAGAATTTCTGGGAGTTGAAGTCCAAGAACATCTGGAGGCCCAAAATTGGGGACCACTGCATTAGAAGACCACGACATGTTTCTCTCAGAAACGCGGGTTGCAAAGACTTTTGCAAGCTCGAGAGATGCGTATGACACTCCCCATCGGAACTGTTGCCAGTCTAAAAGAAACTCAACTGCTTTAGCTTAGACTAGCAAAAAAAATATATGGAATTTTCACGAGCTCTGATCTAGAGATGTGCATGACAATACCGTGAGAAAGAAATTCGACTTGACTTCCCTTAGGCTCGGTTCCCTGGCTTTCTTTTCAATTTAATTTTAAGTGGGTCCATGCTGTTGTGGGGAATCCTCTTCAGAAACGCTGCTGATCTGAACAACACATTTAGATTCCCCTCATGGGGGAAAAAATTGATTCTGTTTTGAGCACCGCCTTGCAGGCAAACAGTTCTTGGGCGGCTGACCTATAACTCTTGTGTAGCACCGGCTAGCCTCAACCAAAGCACGTACAGCATTTCTGGCGGAGATCTATCTGTCCTCACCCTGTTCCCTGAGCCGGGTCTTCCCTCAGCTGCCAGGAATGTAACTCAGGACAATTTTCCTGTTTACCTGGCTTTCAGGATGGAAAAAGACAGCAAATAGTAACAGGGAGCCTTGAACTCACGGACTGAGAAGCAGTCGGTCAAAACAATGTGGAGAGGTTTGGGTAACTGGAGAGTTTCACACCTCTCTTCTTTTCAGACCTAAAATTCATTTCATGTCTCAAACCCTTTACACAATGCTCACTACTGTCTTGCCTCTAAGGGAGAGTTTCACACCTCTCTTCTTTTCAGAACCTCGAATCCATTTCCTGTCTCAACCCCTTTACACAACGCTCACTACTGTCTTTCCTCTGAGTTGCTCAAAACAAGATTTATTGACTGATGGCGGAGATTAATATGCCGCTGGCCTCATGTGAGGTGCTGCTCGAAGCAGTTTACAAAGGTAAAATGGAACCTCAAACTATGGTGGGCTCCAGGGAGCACCTAGTATCGAGAGAAAACGAAGAGAGGGTGCCTTTAATGCTTCCTGAATGTCGCCAGCGTGGTCTTAAAGGATGAGAGCGGGAGGATTGTTAAATCTCTCCCACAGCCCTGTGAGGTAGGTTAGGCTGAGAGACAGTGATTTTGGTTCTCAGTCACCCTTGAGCTGGGCCCTGCAGCAAAACGAGAAGGGGGACGTGGATCATGAATAAAGCATTTGGGGGTCATGAGCGGCGGACAACCATATAAGTGTGTAGCGGCAAAAAAACGAGGAAGGCTCTTATGCAGAGATAGGGAGACCTTAACCTTCCTTTTTGGTTCTCAGTCACCCTTGAGCTGGGCTCTGCAGCCTAACGAGAAGGGGGACGTGGATCATGAACAAAGCATTTGGGGGTCATGAGTGGTGGATGGCCATATAAGTCTGTAGTGGCAAAAAAAACAAGGAAGGTTCTTATGCAGAGACAGGGGAACCTTAACCTTCCCGGTGTGAAAAGAAAAGATGGGTGAACTGGCTGCTGTACGGTTCAGCCCTCCCTGTCTCTGTGGCACAGACTGCTTTTCCGTTCGTGAATTGGCAGAAGGATTCGTGGACTGAAGCTGGCTGGCTGATTCGGTGGGTTGGGTACACGGCTGCAGAGGTTGGGAGTTCGATCCCCTGCCGGGCTTCCTGGAGAAAGAGCCAGCCTGTGTCACCTTGGGCAAGCGGCATAAAACTGCTGGACCGCTCCGTGCTTTGGGCATCTGGCAGACCAAAAAAAAAAGCTGGCGGACAGATGCCAGCTCAGGTTTTTCAGTAGCTGAGCAGCTGTGTTTTCGGTGCCATCTGGCTACTTCAGAGAGAACCTCTCTGCCAAGATGGAATTATACGTTGGCATCTCTCTTCCCTTGCCCTGCTGGCTCAGGCCAGCTGCTCTTTCTAGGATCTCGGTCGCCAGACATCCAGGAGGTTCCCTGTTTCGAGCAGCAGCTGCAGCGACACCAGTGATCGCAGGAGGATGGAGCCCGGGGTCAAAAAACAGGAAAGAATGTGGACTTCAGTCTCCCTCTGCATGCCTGCTGGCCCTTCTGGATGCCAGGAGGCAACAGGTTGTGATTAACTGCTCACCCTTGCTTGACCCGGATCATTGAAGTCCTGGGAGGCACCCAAGAAGGGGTTCATCTTCTTTTGCACTGTGTGTGAATGTTCATCTGGGTGGGGGAGTGTTTTAATCCATGGGTGGCTGGATCACAAGAAGGTTTTAGATGAAACCGGACAGGAAGGCACCTCAAAAGGTTCCTTGCATGATTTCATGCACACTCGGCTCATGACAAACAAGGGCACCGTTTGCAACAACCGAGCAAAGACTGTCTGGGGTGGGTCATTTCATATCCTTCCTACCGCACGGTATGAAGAGGATCCGCACCCAGGTCATCACCCCGAACATAAACAGTAGCCGCCTGTTTCCAAATTCGACAGGCGGTGGTTAAATATAACCATTCCCGGTGCACCTTTATTTAAACACTTCACTGATAAGGAGTTCCACACACCTCACTGGTCTGGAACTTTTTCCAGCCCTCAAAACACGCCTTGAACATTTTCCCTGGTTAAACACACCACTTCCACCAGGCAGAGGCGAGAGAAGGCGAAACGCAGCTTTGAACATTATTTTCTGTTCGAGAAAGGAAGAGCAGCTCAAAATTCTCCTTCTCCACCCCCACCTTCTTCACACAACAGCCCCGCGAGGCGGGTCAAGATCAGACAGAGAGTTCCAGTGCATTTATTTCATGGTTTGATCAGAATTTGAATCCAGGCCTTCTGAGTCAGAGTCTGGTGGCAAAATTGATTCAGGAGAACACCACCAAAAAGAGATAAATAAGCTGAAGGAAGAAGGTTTATAAACTCTGCTCGCCATTCAGCGGATGGACATGGGCGACTGTGTAAAGAAGAATTTTAAAAAAAAACAAAACAGTACTAGAAAGGAAGAATTATCAAACACTAAAATGTTCTTATAAGATGTCTAATGTATTTCCATGCTGGTTTATATTATGATTAACGTGAGCCTTTTATTGCCTTAAGAAGCATTCGGGGTATGTTATTTATTTATTTTTATTCATTCCAAATACTTTTACCAAGCCTTTCTCCTTAAACAGGACCCAAGGCAGCTTGCATCCTTAAAAGAAAATATTGAAAAGCTAAAAACTATGAGTATAAAAACAGTAAATACGCAAATATGTTTTTTTTAAAAAATCAAACAAATATTAAACATGGTAAATAAAATCATGACTAAAACGTGTTTTAAATCAAGATGGACAGCACTCTGTTTAAAAATCCCTTCTGTCAAAGCTAGTTCTACATATATCACAATCCACATCACAGTTAATTGATCAATTGGTTTTAACATCCTCTCCCTCAAAAGATCTTATAAAAATGTAAGGGGCATTTTAGACCATCCTTTAATTGTTCGGTTTTATCATTCCTTTTTTCTCATAACTGGTTTGAGGTGTCCCATCCTTTACTTCTTGCTATTCTTTATTTTTATTTTTCTATTTTTGTGGGAGGTGGGGTTGGTATTTTATTAATTGATTGATGTACTTATTCATAATATGAAAAGGAACCATTCAGTGTATTCAATAGAGAAAACTGTAAGCCATCATAGTTTGGGTGAACATTTTCCCATCTTTAAGACGCTAATGTTAATAAATAACTTTTCACATGCTTGTTGGCTGCTTGCCCCTACCTCTTCCAATGAGCCCTCGGGGTGAATCCGGCTCGGTTGTACTCCCTCGCCTTCTATCCTCACTCCACCCTTGCAAGGAAGGCCAGCCGATAAGTTTAAGGAAGCCTTTAAACCCAGGTCTCTCCTGCCCATCGTTACGAACTGTAACACTACCCTGGTTTTCTTGGTACCCATTTCCCTGTTCTCCCTGGGGCATCATATGGGAAAGTGCAAAAAAAAATTAAAAAGTTACTTTGGGGGCCATAATACCCAGTATCCCCTCACCAACATGACCATCAGGAGGAAGATGATGGGTCGGACCCCACCCAACGCTCCGGGGTGGCTGTGTTTTTTTGTTTGCTGGCTTCTAAATTTTTTATCTGTTTCTTTCTTTGCATGAGTGGGGCTGGACCCAAAATGTGTAGATAGGAAGGAAAAAAATGTGCCATTGGAAACGGACAGATACCAGGTCGAGAAGAACTGAGATGAGCTTCATAGTGAGGGATCAGGGTCTATCTATCAGGTTTCCTGCTGCCTAGGGGGAAAATTGACTTGTTTGAAAAGTGGTGCTGGAGGAGAGCTTTCTGGATACCCTGGACTGCCAGAAAGATGAACAAGGGGGTCCTAGAGTAAATCAAGCCTGAACTCTCTCTCTCTCTCTCTCTCTCTCTCTCTCTCTCTGGATGCCAAAATGATAAAACTGAATCTGTCGTACTTTGGGCACATCATGAGCAGGATTGTCTGGAAAAGACCATCACGCTGGGAAAGGTGGAAGGCAGCAGGGAAAGAGGAAGACCCAATAGGAGATGGATGGACTCCCTAAAAGAAGCCACAGTATTGCTTCTGCAAGAGCTGAGCAGGGCTGATGAAGAAAGGACATTTCGGAGAATGCTCAGTTCATGGGGTCTCCAAAAATCGAAGTTAAATACATTTCTTAACAATGGCACATAAGGGTGTGTGTGTGTGTGTGTGTGTGTGTGTGTGTGTGTGTGTGTGTGTGTGTGTGTGTGTGCTTTCCAGCTGCATATCTGGAGTCCATCTCTCCAAACAAACAGACAACCAACCCCTGCCTTTGCAGAAAAGTTTTAGAAAGGCGAGGGGCTGAGAAGGTTTGACCTTCAGCAAGCGGCTACAAGTAAGGGAAGGAACAACCGTCTCGCCTGGGGTGCCAAGCCAGCGATCAGCGGCCGAAGGCTTTCGGGAAAGTTCGTATTTTTCCATTTCTGCCAAGGAGCTCCCGGGGTGGAGAGGCACTGCCCGCGGGAGCGGCATTCCAGAGCGGCTGAGCCTCTCCGAGACCAGCGGTGGGACCGGCCGCCTTGTGCCAAGAAAAAAGGGAGCGCGCAAAGAGGGTGGAAGAGAAAGGAGAAGTGGCTCAGCGCCTTACCTGCAGCCTTCTTGGGAGGAGAAGCCATCAGAACGGGCAAAAGGCTAGGAAGTTTCGCTCCTGCGCTCTGCTCCGCGCCTGGCTTGCCTTCCTTGAACCGGCGCGCAAGCGGCTCCGCCTTATGTAGCGGAACGCGGCGCGCACCAAGAAGAAGGGGTTGCGCTCCAGCATCCTAGCCCGCCCTCCGACCCTCCCTCCCTCCTTCCCTACCTGACCAGTCTGAGTCCAGCACAACAGGGTGGATTTCTACCCAGTTAACCCAAAAAAGAGAGGAGGGAGAGTTTGCAAAGGTGGAATATTTTTTTTTGGAGAGCCCTGGGGTTTCTTTTTTGAAAATCAGCAAGTGCAACGTGATGGAATGAATCCAGGGCTCCTAGCCACTCTCAATCAAAGTCAGGATAGAGATGGTCCAGGACAGTGTCCTTAAGATCAAGAAGACAATAGGTGAAGCCAGATTTCAGCTGAATAACAGCAGGGAAAACTTCTCAACTGTTAAAGAAGTAGGACAAGGAAACCCAAGACCTCAGGAGGTGGTGAGCGTTCCAAGGCTGGAGGCGTTCAAGAGAAAAATGGACCACCCTCTGTCCGATCTGCTTTGATTTGAATTCCTGCCTTAAACAGGGTGGTTGGACTCGATGGTTTTCGAGCCCCCCTTCCAATTCAATTACTCTATAATTCTATAATAAGCAGTGAAAACTTCAAATTGGCTTGACCGATCCACATTCCATTGTATTAAGCATACCTGGTTCTACTGCATACAGTGGCATTTCTGAAGCATTTGGGCCGAGAATACGTGGCCAGGTGCTATGAACATTTCAGAGCCAGAAGGGGATGAATGAAAAAGTCCTGGGGTGGATTAAAATAAGCATCATGTAGCATTTGGGCTCACCAAAACTGGCAGGGTTCATTTTGATCCTAAGGTATGGCCGTGGCAAAGTACAAAGAGCATCTCATTGGCAAAATAAAATGGATTTTCTGGGACAACATTTCTCACAATTCTTTTCTTATTGTCGGAAATGTCAAGACCTTTTTGTTAAGTTCTTCAAGAGGTGTAATCATGAAAGAGATATTTATATATGGTGACTGCATAGGAGAAGCCACTGAATTTTTGGTCTATTTTCCCCCTTTCTGAGACAGCTCTCAAAGAAACACCTACCTTTGCAGGTCTGGTTTTGCATGAATTCTTGAACTAAAAGGTACGTAACCCCCAAGGGATTAAAGTGTCCCATCTGCCCTTGATTAGGGTTATATTATTTTAATTCAGTAATTTTTTTTAGTAGCAGGGTGTGTGAGAAACCTTTGTAGTTGTCTGTTACCCCAGCAGATGCTGATAAACGATTTTTCAAAGGCACACAGACTTTTTGACATGGCCTTGTTATAATAATAGGTTTTAATTTTGTTTGGATGGGGTCACTTACATTGGCCTGTATTTGTTTTTAATTATTTTGAAGCTGTCTTGATGTTAGAAGAAAGATGAGATGGAAAGTGGCTTAGAAGGCTTTAAAAAGAGGATTCGAATAGGAAAAACTAGTGAATAGGCATGAGTTTGAATATTAAATAGAGCCTCCAGGTTGAGGAGCAGTGTACCTCTGGATATCAGTCATTGGCATTCAGAAAACAAGCTAGAGATGGTTATTTTTGTGTCCTGCTTATCTAAAACAGCATCTTCAGCTAACCATGGTTAACATAACTGAAAGAAAGACAATCTTTAAAAACTGAAACTGAAACAATATTTAAAACTACAAACAATAAGGAGACAACTTACAATGTTAACAGACAATATTAAGGAAAAGATCAATAAGTATACGGGGGGGGACAGCTGAAGGAAAGTGTTAGGAGGACTTCAGTGGGTCCAAAACACAGCAGCCCAATTGTTAACTGGGGCTGGCTACAGGGGTCACATAACTCCCTTGTTACAGCTGCATCACTGGTCGCCGAAAATTTTCCAGGAACAAGTAAAAGTATTGGTTCTAATCTATGAAGCCCCAAAGCGCTTGGGTTTAAGCTGTCTCAAAAACCACATCTCCCATTATGAGCTTGCTTGGGTGTTGAGATCATCAGGAGAGACGTTTCTCTCAGTCCCACTGTCTTTACAGGTATGTGGTTTTTTTGGGGGGGGGGAATTCTCTCAGTCCCACTGTCTTTACAGGTATTTTTTTTGGGGGGGGGACAGGAGAGGGCCTTCTCGGTGGCTGCTCCTTTAGACTCTGGAACTCCCTCCCACTGGAGGCCAGCCTGGCCCCATCTTTGCTGTCCTTCCACAAGCAGGCCTTTCTCTTCAGGCAAGTTTTCCCTTAATAACTAATAAGGAGAGAGTGTATTGAAGAAGATGGATACACAGATCCAGGCCCCTCTTGCTTCAGGGTAGCAACCTGTGGATGATTCTTAGAAAAGGCCATGGAAGTGTGGGATCAAATTCAACCAGTTGCAAGTTGTCGGCCATCGGTTTGTGCCTTTTGAGTGTCCAGATAGGTCCCCCCGCCGCCTCCAAGCTCCCTATGGGACCCTCATCTTCCCCCCACTGCCTGGCCCGCTCTGTCTTTGACCTCCCTACGTCCCCATGAATGAAGTGTAAGCGCCAGCGCTTGCTACACAATGGAGTTCCTGTTACACAACGATGCGCCGTTTTAACCCTTGCGGAAGGGAAGAGATAAGGAGAACTGAAAGCGCGCCGCTGCAAAAGGCCAGGGGTTCAGCTGGGGACCCTCTCCCAACGAAACCCGGAGTCAGCAAAAGCTGGCCCTCTGAATCATCGTGTGCCCACGTCACCCACCATGCTGCGGTAATAGGAAAAATGGAGTGTGTGCTTGAGTCACGCATGGGTGGCACAGAGGGGCTCCAGGTTGTGGGAGGACAATGTGAGGCTGAGGTCAACCCCCATCTTCCCACCATCCACCCACCAAAGGGGTCACTTAATTTCAGCCTCTTCAGCTGAAAAAAAATGCAGATGCCTTCTGATGAGGGGGCAGTGCCCCAGACGCCGGCGTGGGTGGGTATATCCAACGTGCTATTTTCACCATCCTTGACTCAACGCCACTTCCCTGAACTGGAGGCGTTTCGCCCTCTGGGGAGCAAGACGCAGCTGGTTACGTGGAAGGGTGACCCACGTAACGCATCCTATTCAACACGCTATTCATGGCCAATGTCTTCAAATGACCCTTTTCCCCCATTGGCCATGGTTGGAATAACGCGTGGCGCATCGCAGAACGAAGGGAGGAACCGATCAAGCTCTCCAAAAGAGGACACCAGCTTTTAAAAAATGCTTTCTAGCTTCCATGCCTTCTCCTTTATATAGATCAATGCGTCCCAGCCTTGCCTCCCCAGATGTTCATGGACTAAAACTCCCAGAAGCCTTCAGCACTAGCTGTGCCGGCCAGGATTTCTGGGAGTTGTGGTCCGAGAACATCTGGGGACCCCAGGTTGGGAAGCACTGATACAAAAGATGTTCTTTTATCTGCAGGCATCTGAGCCAGCTTTCCTGAGCCTGTTTGTTGCAAAGCCCAAGGTTGGGAGTTCGATTCCTCACGGTGCTCCTTGACGGGCTGGACTGGATGACCCGCAGGGTCCTTTTCAGCTCTGCAACTCTCAGATTGAGAGATTCAAAAGTCTTTAGAACTTTTCTCCCAAATCACTGCCTCTAGTAATATCTGCTCTGAAACGGTGGAAGAATCCACGGCTGAGTTTTCTGCACCATCTCCTCTTGCCCTGCCTAAAGGCGGTAGCATTTTTAGATGTTGCAACGCAAAGGCATGAGTTTCCTTTGGCATGTCCAGGCCAGCCTCTTTGAAGAACAGACGGACCACCGCTGATCCTCAGGCAGGAGACTGAAGACCCTTCAAAGGCATTAGCTCCCAAATGCAATCGGGGTGTGGACGGGGACATTGTTGAGTCTTCGGGCACAAGCAAGATGTTGCAATTCCATACCCTAGTTGGAAGCGACGGGAGCAAAGAGGAAGTTGAGCGAGCCTGCGCAATCCGAACCCACTTCAGAGCCCCAGCAGGGCAGTGGCCAGGTCAAGAGGAAATTTCCCGCTCCTGTCATATCGCTGTTCAGCCGGCGTTTCTGAATTCTCCTGAAACAGCACTTAATGTTTGCCTGCTGTCTGAGTTTGCTCAGAGGCTTTGAAGCACTCCAGCGTGGTCCGTTTGTTCTACAACAAGATTAATCCTTTGTAACACAGTAAGGAGTGAAGAAGCGGGAAGTAAAGAACGAGGATCAGAAAAGGTCCAAAAATTCTGTTGCAGAGTTTTGAACCTCTGGTAAAATTCTCTTTTTGCTACACAATAGAATTACAAAGATCCATGGAGGACAATGGCTACAAGTTCCCTAGTCTGTCCACTCCTTTCTCAATAACTGGCCCCTTGATGTCTCAATAACTCTGAGACATTTGTAGGAAAAGAATAAAACAAACTTTACTAGCAATTGCTTGAAATTACAGATTCGTGCTTACTGCTTTCCTTACTGCACACATGCTAGCAACCAACCAACCAACCAGATCAACAGCAACCAACAACTGCCATCAACCAATGTAAGCAAGAGACACAACATTCAGCACAGATGGGGCTCTCTTTGAATTTCAAAAGCTGAAAGGAATGACTGGTTAGTGCTGAACAGATAGATGCTCACCCACAAAAGTCACTCCCAGTCACTCGGGCTACAGACCGCAAGCAAGGTTGCAAATAAAAGTCCAACAAATCACCCCCTTGATGAATAAACACACAAATCCATATCAGCCCCAAGCAAATCTAGAGCTGAGTGATGCCTTTAATAGGACCCATTTATTTCTTGGAGAAGGCACACTTCATTTATATTCCCAAAGATTTTGGTTTTACTTGATCTACCCTGGTCTAAATGAATAAACTTAAAATGAGTTTGTGACCATGTTTTGGATTTTACACCCAAAACAAACCCTCCAATAGAGAAGTTCCAGCAGAGAAGCACATTTCTTGAATATCGCTCAAAGATTTCTTAAAGATTTCTGAAAGAGAATTGGTTTTCCTAAGGAGAGAAAGATGTTTAAAGAGAAAAATTGGAGGCACATCCAAGCGAATCTGCGCTCCTCCAAGCACAAAGCAATGAGGGAACAGAACGTTCCATCCAGACTGGAGAGGTCGGCTGCAAGGAACCCTAGACAGAATTGTCAGCACCAAGGGACCA